ACACACACACACACACACACACACACACACACACACACACACACACACAGAGCAATAATTCAATGAACACACAACTACTATGACCTCAGTCAGGATTGACTGAACACCCAGCTCTTATTCAAACACACAAAAGCAAAGTCCAAGAAAAAACAACATGGCCGTGAAGTTTCTGATTACATCACATTTGTTACTCATACTTTGCAGAAAATAAAACTTTTTACATCGTATCACATCATGATTAATTCTAACAAAACTAAAATCAGCACCATTTTACAAGTCATCTATGCAAAAACATTCACATGTATTACAAAATTTTAAATCATTTATCTAAGGAAGAYAGCAGCTTGTGCAAGAGTTATAAAAAGAGGTTATTGTACTTTTGGTTTGGGACTATTTTTAGCTATTTGGGCCTCTTAAATATTATGTCTGAATGCTTTCTTCTGATTTACATTACAGCAAATYAAAATTTAGTTTTTGGTGACATTTCTTAAAATCGTAAGCTCTGACACATTATTCTTTACTGTGATTTAATCCAAATGATTGTTAGAACTGAATGCAGCATGTGGCAAATAAAAAATATCACTTGTTTTCCTGTTGATAACATTTCATTTCACCTGAGAGATATTTTGGAAATATAAAAGTTGGGGTAACCACGCCAAATTTGAGATAAATTATTTTTAGTACTTTTTGTGCTTGTATGGTCAGTTTAATGTTGCTGTTATCATGAATTGTGTTGGCTGCAGAGGTAAACCTGTTGTTAAAGTGAATATCATTACTTCCTGAAAGATTAATGGTTCATGCAATTTGTTGCAATCAGAATATGCTACTGCCACACCAAATGATAGCTCAATGTCAATATATTTAACCTAGTTATAACCATTTTAGTGTTTTTTATGTCCAATAACTGTGTCGGGCATCTTGAATTATACTGACTCCTAAAATTAATCAGTTTTAGATGTAAATTCAATTACTTTCTGAGTGTTTCATTTAAATTCACACATTGGTTCATGAGATATTTTGCTAACAGACAAAAACATTATGGCCTTTTCACCTTTGCTGCAATAAACATCGATACGACGGATTATTGCTGCAGCTGAAGCTTTACTAGATGAAACATAAACAAGGGAAAGCTTATATTAGCTACGTTAGCTTTCAGGCAAAACAAGCTATCAACACACATTAGCTAAAGCTAAAGGGGTAGTTATATTTGTTTTAGACCGTCTTTGGCTGGTTAATGACAGTTTTCTGTGCCTGGGAGTTTTATTTTTCAGTACCGTCTCTCCTCCTCCTTCTCTCCGGACACGGCTCGGTTCGAACCCCGCCGCAAGCCGCCGAGTGTCGGTCTCCTGAGCCCCGCTGCTAACAGACGCCACAGCCGCTAACTAATGGTGGCATTACCGCTTCGCGGAGTAAAACACCGCAAACAGAAAATATGTACATTAACTAGAGGTTAAAAACTTCCAGGAACTGGGTTACCACGACATGGGGGAATAAAAGAGGGTCCKGTGTTCTGCCCAGAAACGCATGTCTGACCAAAATTGCCTCCCCTGTCCCGGGAGCGCGCATCGCTCTAAAGTCTCGCACATTGACGAGAAACCACACTGAAATATGACCGGAGGAAATTTTAAAGATATTTGTAACATTATCACGTTTCTTACCATATAGCTTTAAAGCATTACAAAACAGAGGCCCGTTATGTAGAACATTTTACGTCGTGCTTAACTTTCTAGTCTGTTAATGTAGGAGGGAATACATTTAAATTTATGAGCCTGAAAATATTTGCATACATCCTGTTGATGTAAAAAATTAAGCATTAGCTCAGAGAACAAGTGTCATTACGTAGAAAAGGTGAAATCCTTTCAGCTCTTTATTTCTCCAAGTTAGCACAGGGATGCATTTTTGGGCAATTTGCTTTTCCAGCCTGCCAAAATATGCATCCCCTCTTTATTTTCCTCAAATATTATCCTATTGATTTAAAACTTCTACCAGCAGATCATGGAACTACTCTGATTATGTAGAAAAATTTATTTCACTCTTAACTCTTTATTTCGCAAAATTAGCACAGGGATGCATTTTTTTGGCGATGATTTCCTGCCTGCCACGATATGCATCCCCTCTCTATTCTCCTCAAATATTATCCCATTGATATAAAACTTATACCAGTAGTTTACAGAACTACTTTAATTATGCAGAAAAAATTATTTCACTCTTAAATCTTTTTCTTCAAGTTAGCACAGGGATGCATTTTTGGGCAATTGATTTCCAGCCTGCCAAAATATGCATCCCCTCTTTATTTTCCCCAAATATTAGCCTATTGATATAAAACTCATACCAGTAGTTTACAGAACTACTCTAATTATGTAGAAAAAGTTATTTTACTCTTAACTCTTTATTTCTCAAAATTAGTACAGGGATGCATTTTTGGGCACCCATCTTCCAGTGTTATCCAGAAACAAATAAAGTTTAAAGCCTGAAGAAATGTCAACACCTACTGCTTTGTAATAGTTTGAGCAGAAGGCGCTTTACTCATCCATCCATCCATCCATCCATCCATCCATCCATCCATCCATCCATCCATCCATCCATCCATCCATCCATCCATAGCCTGGTCTTGGGGCCAGCAGCTCTCAGCTCTTCTGGGAGGACACCAGATGTTCTCAAACCTGAGACTTTCAGAGAGTAGAGCTGATGCTCCTCTACATCCAGAGGAGCCAGTTAAGGTGGTTCATCTTCCAGACGCCTCCTTTGGGAGGTGCTTCAGGGA